CTCTCTCTCTCTCTCTCTTACGTGCAGCCGCGCGCACGCAGACACACTTTCTCTTTCTCCCTCTCTCTTGCACTAGGGCACAGGGCGACCAAGCACAGTCGAAAATTATGAACTTGAGTCAGACCACAGTGCACACCAATGTCCTCACACCACAAAGCGATGAGAGAGAGGGAGGGGGGCTGCATTTTTGACAGGAGGACAGGGTGTCACATGATGCAACACATAAAGAAGATGTACAACAACAGACTGAATGAAACTCAACCACTAGGACCTACACCATGCAACCAGATGAAACTCGAGAGGGTAGAACTAACATGTTGGCAATCCGGTCTGTTGCTTCTGTAGTATCGTGCCAATGGCCGGAATCCTTGTGCAATCTCAAGATTCTAAGATTGTACTCCATCTGGGCATTGGTTTAGTAGGACCCAATGACCTGGATTTCAGATTTGTTACATGGGCACGACGATCTGGGCAGTGGCCCAGATACATTATTTGTTACATAAGCAGTTTGAACAGTGTGGGGATTGTTCCACTTGAAGGGCTTTGAATTTCCATGCCTGCAAAGTTGAAAACAATATAAATCTGGCATAGTCATCTAACAAGCAAGTCAACACGACTACCAAACTAGCTCCAACCATTAGCAGGCAGATCAACTATACCAAGCCAACTAACCTGCGCATCGATGTCAATTTGCACCTCATCTCCCTTTATGTTGAAATGGGGATTACTCTGAGCAATGATTTGGATGACGTCACTTAGCCTCTCTGGAGGCAACTTCCCCAGGTTATGTCCAAGCTGCCGCTTCTGCTTGACCGTCATTTCCCTAGTACCATGTATGCCCCATTGCAAAACAATACAGAGATTCATCAGAAGCAAGGAATAGCTTCTCAATCGAACACAAGAACACAATTGCCCCACTGTATGTGCTACAAGAGAATTGAAGAGTGATGCAGGGATGCTTACATTTGTTAAGAACCCGGAAAAAGATTCAAAGAACATGACATCCTGTGACGACGATGGTAGCTGGCTGTACAGGTGCCTGGTGACTGAATGGTACACTCCCCATGCTTCACCCATGGCACCTTCTCTCTCTCTCCATCCATACCTTCAGTCTTGGCACTTCCCCCCTCTCCCCCCCCCCCCCCCCCCCCCCCCCCCTCTCTCTCTCTCTCTCTCTCGCTCGCTTGTAGAATCTCTATTTGGATTTCACTCTTGCCCCCTTTCTCTCTCTTTCCATCCATCCATCCACTCTGGCCAACCCCTGCCCCCTTTCCCTCTCTCTCTCTCTCTCTCTCTCTCTCTCTCACACACACACACACACACACACACACACACACACACAGAGTCTCTATCTGGATTTCATTCTTGACTGAATGGTACACTACTATACTCCCCATGCTGTACCCCGCTTTCAGCACGTTGCTGGAAGAGCCTTGAAGGCGGACCCCTGAATCTCAATGAGCCCCGAATTCATCAATTTTTGCAAATTTTGTTGGGCGCCAGACAGTTGCCACGCGCCAGTTGGTTACATCCCCCTCGCTTGTGAGAATCCAAAATATTACTGAGCCTTCCAGGCTCTTCCAGCAACGTGGTGAAAGCGGGGTACACCGCACGTTTGTGGCTGGGTGGTTGGGCATGCCTAACCGATTCGGTCCCAGGCCACTGTCTGAACAGGCCTGGGCATAGACACTTCGGCCGAGAATGAAGCTACTGGAAACTCGGTCCTGACGGGAAAGAGCAGCCAGTGTACCCGCACTTTCGATATAGGAAAGTGTTGGGCGCCAAGGGAGACATTCGGGCACTTGGTAGAGCAGGCAGCACCACTGCTGGAGCGAGCGCTCACGTGCTGCTGCTAGCTGCTAGCGCTATTGCCTGTGCGCGTGCGCGGACGTGCAGGGTGAAGGGCGCTGCTGAGGGCAGCGCCATAGCCAGCCCCCGTAGCCGGGATTGGCTTGGATGTAGCAAGTGGAGGTGGTGGTGGTATTCGTGTTGAGAGGAAACGTGGGAGAAGAAGACGACGGAGACGAGGGAGAGAAGAGGATGATGATGTGAGGGCACGTACCTGGTATTGGCGATGGTCTACATGGTCAACATCTTCATGTACTTGGGTTGTTGCTGCTGACGTCAACAGGTTGCATTGTTAATTCGTAGGCTGGGTGTAGCTGTGTGATTGTAGTCTGGGCGCTGAGCGCCAAGTAGGAGGAAGGGCTCTGGATACATACGTTGGTGGTGGCGAGAGTATGCTCTCATTGACATTTGGATTCGGTGCTTTGGTTCTCCATTGGTGGAATATCAGTGCATATCTGCTTTCTGGACAGCGTTCGACTTTCTGGCTTTCAATGTGATTTTGCATTCTGGAATTCTGTAGCACTCTTTTTTGAAGTTTTTTCTTGCATGGGCAAAAAAAAAACAAAAAAAAATAGGGTTGTAGATCGTTTTGAGATCTACAATCCCATGCTTTTTATTTGTTTCTTTGTACCTTTAAATATATTTTTAAAAATTCAGATGCATTAAAAAAAAAAAAAGGTGAAATGGGTCTCGTGTGTGTGTTTTTTTTTCCTTTGTGTGTGTGTCATGGTCACCAACCGGACGTCCGGATCCCGACCCAGACAGTCCGGTGTCCGGTGTCCGGTTCGGAGGGTCCGGTCGGACCCCAATTTTCAAAAATTCAGAACTTTTTTTTGAGGTTTCCAGGCCGTTTACCTGGGCCTGGGGTACCCCGGAAAAGTAATGCTGATGTTTTGTGAGAACCGGTACCCCAACTGGACAGGCCCTGAAAGGGCCCTGTGTGTGATAACATTGGCACATGAGTTCACTGCTTTGCTCTTATTTGGATGGAATCTGCCGTGCATTTGAGCTCTCTGCTTGGTACATGACTATCTGGACTTCTGCATGATTTAGCAACTTGATTTTCTGTCTATCGCTCTTGCTCATATTCCTTGCATTTTTGTGACGTGGGATGAGGGTCTGGCTGATGGGAGGGGCGACCAGGGATGGGAGAGCGATAAGGATGGGAGGGCGATGAAGGATGGGAGGGGCAGGCAGGGATGGGAGGGCGATGACGCCAGACAGAGATGAGCGACATTGGATACTGTGTTGGTGGGGCCTAAGGGCGATGACATTGGCACACGAGTTCACGGCTTTGCTCTTATTTGGATGGAATCTTGGTGCATTTGAGCTCTGTGCTTGGCTTTTTTTTTTTTTTTTTTTTTTTTTTTTTTTTTTTGTTGTTGTTGTTGTTGTTGTTGTCCGGACAACCGGACACTGACACAGCAAACCGGATTGTCTGGGTCCGGATGTCTGGATGTCCGGTTTGATCCAGACACGGGTCCGGTGTCTGTGTCCGGTTGTTCGGTTGTCCGGGTCCGGGGCAACCATGGTGTGTGTGTGTGTGTGTGACGCACACACACACACACACACACACACACACACACACACACACAGATGGAGGGGGGGGGGGATTTGGGTGGGGGCAGGGGGTGTTTTGGGAGGGGGTGGTTTCCTTTGTTTTTTCAGTTTAATTGTGCAGGGGTGCTGGGCCACGTACCCGAACCCCCGCAGACCCAATCCGTTGAAAAACAAATTGGAGGGAGCCCCCCCATTTTTGATTCAACGGGAATTTAACGGGGGTAGGAGGGAATTAAAGTTATTAAATGGCTTTTAACAGCAGTTTAACTCCACCCCACCCCCCCGTTAAAAGGACACTCAGGTGGGAAAATGAGAAAGTGGCAGCAGTGAGAAACGCGATGGGCTTGTATTCACAAAGCGCACATGAAAAGGAGTGCAGAATCAACAGATGGCAGTTCAGTCATAGCACTCTACCTGCAGTTACTCGATGCCAGTTCCGACAGCTCCTCGAGTTCCTTGTCTATCACCTCCAACTGCAAATGTATCCAAATAAATACATAAGGATGTACCCAAATAAATGCATAATAACACAAGGATGTAACCAAGGCCATCCACATACATTCACAAGATAAGGACGTGAAAAAAGGAAGTAATAGGCCAGACACATGGAGTATGTGCTTCAGATATCGTGCAACACAGGAAAGAGGAACTTTGCCATGCCCTTCTGCTCAGTCCATGGGAAGTCTTTAGCAGGAACGCTGCTCTGAGGGGCAACACAACAACATGCAAGAAAAACTTAGCAGCGCAACAACAGGCAAGAAAAACCTAGCAGCACAACAACAGGCAAGAAAAATCTGGCAAGCACAGTAAACAGCCACCAGACAGCTACCGAAATGAGAGATGTGAATAGAGATTCCCTGGCTTCCTGTCATTCAATTCCTCCCTCATTCTTACTCTCTCTCTCTCTCTCTCTCTCTCTCTCTCTCTCTCTCTCTCTCTCTCTCTCTCTCTCTCTACGCTCCCTCTCTTCCTCTCCCTCCCTTGTCCTTCTCTCATCTAAATCATTTAACGTCATCCCCCTTTTTTTCTCCCCGGCTCATGTTGTCTGGACGCTGCTTTCTGCTGAGTGCCAAGTTTTGGTGTACCCCTCGCAGGTGCGCAAATGTGTCTTTTGCCCTACCGTCTTCACCTGAATAGAACGCCCGGTAATTATAGCTGTATTTGGGGCAACTTCCAGTCCAGATACAGCGATAATTACCGGGCGTTCGATTCAGGAGAAGACGCTAGGGCCACCAGCCTTTCCATTCGGTAGGCCGAGCCCTGGTGGTTTAAAGACTAAGACCCATCCCCAGCTCAGGGAGTGAATTCCGGTGGAGCACCACTCTCATCATTTCTCCTTTTTTTCCTTGGCCCCTCCCTAGCCAGTCGGAGCAGAAATCGTGCACAAGTGTTCGTCTATTCTGGGCGAGGGTATCGGCTCTCAGCTTCGCCTTTTTGTTTTCCCACACCCTTTGCAGTCCTGGGTCTGTTATTCCTTTGACAACCTTGCTGACTGTCAAACTCCCTCTCCTCCACCAATTCTATCATACAGCGCCTTCCCAGAGGAGAGCGACAGCGCCTTCCCAGAGGAGAGCGACAGCGCCTTCCCAGAGGAGCGCCGTTCTCGCTCTACGGGCTATAACTGTGACTCCAGGACATAGGGTGACCTGCCTACGAGGGGGAATCGCCGATCCCAGGGCCATTCAGTGCCCCTAAGATGAGTCCAGATCACATAACCATCTCCAAGTGACAATCACTTTCGGACCCTGCAGGGGAATAGGTGCTCGATGGTCTCCGGCCGCTTTCACGATGGGTATGCCGTTTTGCAGGTCTTACACCATGGCTGGGCGACGACTTCAGATTGGGCTTCATACAGGCAATGATCCAGTGAAGATTCAGGAGGCAGCTATCCAGGATTTGCCATACTAACGATTGACATTTTGCATGTCCTGTATCTCTAGCCCTTAACCTCCCCCCGAATCATTAAATCCCAGAGAGCAGAGACCTACCTCTCTGCGTCCGAGGAGTCTGTAACCTCCCCTTGGCATGTACTCCCAGATACCCATCGTCAGAACGTCTCTGACAGGTAGTGGGGGAGGGAGAGTTCCCATTGCCATTCCAATGGGCCAAAGTCCACGTCGCTGATTTGTGGTTCCAACCCAATCTTCTTCCTTGAATGAGGGTACACCTTTTAGTATTGCCCTTCATTCCAGTGGAGTGGCCGTTATTAACTCATCTCACAATATCTGAGGGTTTCTTCTAGGCGTGATCAGACTCTTCAGCGACATCTGGCGAGAGCAGAACGGAGAGAGACTGTGAGAGGTGGTAGGCTAGCTTAAGCAGGTTGAGTAGGGGAGTAGCCTAGGCAGGCACATCATAATAGGGCTACCACATTGTTGTCGTATTGATTGTTGGAGACGTGAAGAAGATTTTCATTTCAAGAGACTTAGTGTTCAGTGTGTTATTGACTTGGTTTGATCCCGACTTTGTCATTCTGCTTTCAACTCAACTTATTCACGATTGCCCTTCTGTGGGCTTTTGAATTTCGATTTTTTTTTAGTTCTCAATGGATGGTTCCTTGCAGTTTGGCATCGAAGCGGGTTCTCTGACACTCTGCATCCAGCTGGCAAGTAGGTCTCTTGGTGCCAGAGCTGGCCAGTGCATGCATGCAGTGCTGTTGACAATTTGCTGGCTGGTAACCCATGGGTATAGTATAATATAAAAATAGTAAAATACGGGTTAACTGTTTTTTTTTTTTTTTTTGGCCGGTTCCCAGCACGTGCTGCTCCCCACGAATAGATCGGAGCTATTAAAAAAAAAAAAAAAAAAAAAAAAAAAAAAAGGGGTTAACTGTAGGATGCTTTGATCCGAAAGTGACTCCAATTCGCCAGAACAGGCTCAACTCTGTAAACGTCAGCGGTCTCACACTGTATTCTTGCGCAATCTTATTTTGTTTATCAAGATGGCGATGCAAAAACCTCAACAGCGCTTTTGGAACATGCTATGTTTTCTCTTCCCTTGCGGGATTGTGGCTGGGTAGAGAGCACAAGGGTGGAAGGTTCTTTGAATATGTGGCAACTTGGTGCGTGCCATTGCTTAAGGTAGCGTTGGCATTATACTGTCGGCCGTTCCTGAGCATTGACTGGTCATCGAACGGAGCATCATAACGGTTAGCGAGATAATTTGTGGTTGGGGCAGCACGAAGTAAGGAGGATCACTAACTCTTCCATCATCCTTCTAACGCTGAGGAAGAGCGTTTTACTTCAAGTGTCATTTTTTCCTTGTGAGCTGTGAGCAGGTGCTGCCTTGACAGGCGACCTTCTTCTGGTGCATCTTGTGGAAGAAAGGTGGTCCATGGGAAGTGCCAAGGGTGACGGAGGCACATGATGTGGGAGTAGTTCACACATGCATGCTCAGATCACACTAATCTTCAACAGTGCTATTGAGACAACCAGATTGGGTGGGCCATTGCCCTGTTTGCGACGTTAAATATTTCTTTAGGAAAGGTCGTTTGATGGGCAACATAATTACTTTGCATAGGGTTGGCCACCCGCTGGTTAGTGGTTGCACAGGGGTGGGTCTGGATTCGTGCAAGTCACACTCTTGCACATAAGTCGTCAGTTAAGGGAGTGGGAGAGAATTTAGTCACGCCCTTGCCAATTATAAGGAAGCAGGCTGAAAATCAGCCAATAACATATCTTGTGTTAGAGAACTTGGAGGCCGGATAGAGGTCACGAAGAAGAAATGCCTATGAACAGTGAAAAACAATGCAGGGATCCACAGGAGGATCCGGTGCACGAGCTGGGGTCTCATCTCAAATCTCAAGCCCAAGGGACGCAAGTTTCTGATCGTTCATAGGTTCTTGCTAGAGCTGCATAGCCAAGTCAGATAAGATGTCCTACAGTGGGAAAGCATCAGAACGTTTCAGAGCTTGAGCAGAATGAACTCAGGGATTTTTAGCATTGAAGGAAGGAGAGAGAAGTACGGAATAGAAAAGCCTTATTAGAGGGAAGGGAGGCACAGCGAGAGGCAATGAGGGGATTGGATGAGGGTACTCTCAGCGACACTGAGAGTGTTTTCCATGAATCTGTTGGGTCTCCATGAGACAGCTTGGTCCTTGAAAAGAAACCTAGACCCCATCCTAGACTCCGTGAATAGGTTGACCACGTTCATGGATCCAATGCAGAGACGAATGCCAATTTCCTTCAGCATCGTCTACACAGACCAGCCTTTAGAACCTCTGAGGCCAGCCCCACAATTAGGTGCCCTAGCTGCTATCTCCCAACATCCATTTGCCTCTCTTTTTGGCATCAGACCTCAGATGAGCAGTATAACTTTGACGGTTTGACCCAACCAACCCCAGGCTTCAGTACCTTCTCTCATTCTCAAGCCATGACCGCAATGCGGCGGCCGTCTTCTCCTGTCAGTCTACCAAACCCATGGTGAACCCTTTACTAATACACAAGGCAGAAGCGGGGAGAATCTAGATAGTTGGTGGATGATCGTTCCTACTTTCGGGAGAATGAAGAATATGATATTGAACAGGGAAGTAAGCGGGGCCCATAGCTGTCTGACAGGCAACTTAGGAGAGAGATTGAACGTCGGAGGTTTGTTTGGCCTGGGCACGTAGATACAGAAATGGAGTCATTCATGGACTTAGTCTGTAACTGATTAGTCTGTAACTGTTCTTAAACCACGAGTACCTACCGGTTGGGGTGGCTGTTAACGCGGAAGCCGAATCGGCCTGCCCCTCCTGTCCAAGTTCATTTGAGGTGGGGGGGTACGGAAAATGCGGTAGGGACTGGTGGTTTAAGAGGACCGATAGGGCCATCCTAAGCATGCTAGAAACCTGTTGGACATTGAAGCCATCTCTCTGGTCCATATTATTATCACACTTTGTCAATGAAGGGGCTGGATATAGATTTGCCACTGAAGGTCAGCTGAAGGGCCAATAGAAGAGCTGGAAGGAGAAGGCTCTCCGTGTCTGCAAAAGACAAGGTCATCTTCGCTATAAATAGGACGATGGTGAGAAGGTGTTATCCTCCATGACACGTGCTACGAAGTGGCAGAGCAATAGGAAAGCGGTGAGGAAAACCTCGAGGGAGAGGCTCTCACTCACTGTAAGGAATTCCAAGGGAAGAGATGACACCAGTTAGACTTCACATCATGGCCTAGTGAAACATTTTGTCATGATAGAGCATTAGGGACACATGTATGAAGAAAGAGCTGTCAAAAGGGAAAACTGAACGAGCCAGTAGAGTCTGTTCTTTCGAAAAAAAAGAAAAGAAAAGGAAGAACGAGCCAGTAGAGCAAGAAGCCCATTGTACAGTGTTTGTTGACGATGGAGATATACTCGGCCAGTCAAACTAAAGGGTTTCCCTCAACCTCACTAGCAACAATGGCTATGGCCACTGACCCTACGGTTACCCGTTCGTTGCAGTCTGACCAAGAGATGCTCTGTTCTCGGTATAATATCGAGTCCCTTGAGGACCTAGACAGAGAATTGCCAGATTCCATGGGCTCTTGGGCAATGAAGGAAATTTACCTAATACTTAAAGGGAAAAGCGGTCCTCGGAAGACGCTCCCAGCGGGCCCATGGAAAAGAAGTCCGTGGGGTCGTTTCTTGGGACAACCGGTGAAAAATCTCACAATAGGCGCGGGTTCAAGTGGGGGAGGGGTCATTTTTTTTTTTTTTTTTTTTTTTTTTTTTCATTTTAAGCGAGGCCTTATGGCCTGTCTCTTATACACATCTAGATGTGTATAAGAGACAGATATGAAGGCACACTCTGATGCATCTCCGGGTGATCTCCCCAATACGGTCGTGAGATCCCCGCAGGCAGCATTGATTACTTCCAAATTCCAATCGGAAGGATGTACCTCTCTCCTCACAACCTTACTGCAATTTCATTTTGCCGTATGCAGCCCCTTCTTTTTTTTTTTTTTTTTTTTTTTTT